CTAGCACTTGCAATATGCACATACAAAAAAATGTCAGAAGAGACAACAGTGACACTCAATGTCCAGAACTGTGGCCTGGCACAACAAATATTTGAAAAAAAATGTATTAGTTACATCGGGCCAATAATTATTGTTTTATATAACTTAGACATTGAACATTAGATAGCGTTAATTCTATAAACATTTATTTCTTTTCGGAGACGTCTTTTTGTGATTCATTATGACACCTGCAAGTTCCTATCTGCAGAGCGATGTGCGAGGGCGCACTTTAACTAAGACTGAAACTCGCCATTGACTAATACCTCGGTACTTCTGGATTATAGTTGTTTTTTCTAGACATTTGAATATAACAAGTTTTGTGTTTCCATTCAACAAGTAGAGACACACCTTTTTTCATTGATTGCGGCTTGATGATCGCCTTCACATCGTGTTTGTTCTCGCAAACGTCAACATCATATCCGCAAATCTTTTTGTTGGTTTGAGATCTTCTGATCGTAAAATATTATTAAAAAGTGCGCCCTCTGGCGACAGTAATAGAGAACAACTTGGTGGCATGTATCTGGACGGATCACTGGTCCAGCTGACGGTCAAACATTCATCAACGCGAACTCGTTCATCCTGAGTACGAGTGTGTATAGCATACTAGTATCAAATATCATGTAGAAACTTACCTTATCAATATATTTTTGAATTTCACATTTATTTATTGACAAATACCTCTTTTATTGTCACCAAAAAAGATGTCAAAATGCATAGTGTTTAAACAACATAATTGAAAAATTACATCATATACTTGGCAGCATAAAAGTCAGCCTCGGTCCATTCGTTACAACGCTGGTGTAATCATTAGGAAATGGAACAACCAACAGGTTCAATTAATAGCGAAATCTAAAGCTTTGAAAACTCTCCTATCATCACTTAAATATCCATATAGATTTCAAGATGTGATTGACATATATAAAAATGTAAAACTTATTAATAACTGAATGTCACGTGACGAAGCGAGGTCGTGATGGCGCCCTTTCAACAATTGAATTATACGGGTACAATGAGTGACCGTATATATTTTGTGATTTCGCATACAAAGCTGGTTAATAATGGAAAATTCGATCCAATCCTCTAATTATCAATATCAATTACTGGAACATTGTACGTTGTACTGTAATACGAATGATAACATCTGTCAACACCGTATAAATTAGAGGTTATGCAGTATATCGTCTCCTATGTTCACCGAGAAAGTTGTATCACAAATACACTGGTAAGGAGGCACACGTAAATTTCAACTAATACATTAATTTCGAGATTCAGTATCACATGGTGTTTTTGTCAGACCGACAATTTTTTGTAGCTATTCGTAAAAACAACCTTCACTATATCTATTTCGTCATTATTTACGTCAGAGTTTGTTCTGATACACCGCATATATTTGACGCAAAAGACCGCCGTCACTTGTTTTCTTTAGGATCTTGAAATCCATGATACGTTTCCCCCTTGCAATGTTGTTCCACATACCATAGCTACATTGATATGGACGCGATAACAAATCTAACACTGTTTAAGGTTAACAATAAGTCTCGTAGTCTGACAATGTCGCGTAAGTTGCGCCATCCGCGGTGCTCCAAGCCCAAGTGGAGTATGATGCCGTTCGGCCTGTGAGAGCGCCACTCACGCCTACATGTCAGACTAATGATAATTTCGTCGCTCTTTTGTTTTCAACAAAATCTTGGCGTTTTTTTTTCATCCAAGGTCTATTTGAACCAAATGTACTAGTAGTCACTTGCTGTAGCGATTTATTGCATACTCACTCTATTCACCATGCTGCGAACGAGCCTTGGGGCAGAATATCAAGTTCACCAGACCCCCCCCCCCCGCACATCTCATGTAACAAAACAGCCAGCTGGTGTATATGCATGAAATCCTAGTACATTCACCATCGTTAGAGGATTGCTTTTCAAATTGTTTACGTCATCAAATACACGTGTCGTACATATTGATGTCAAGCTGTGATGTACCGGTTCATTTTCATTTCGCTTAATAAAATGTAGGCTGGCCTGCTTATCTGAACTCGACATCAAGCCACGTTGTGTCCGTATGCCCCAATCCCATGCTGTAATCTGATATATTCGATGGAGGAAACAAGTTTCGACAAACGATGTAAAATGACACTGATACCGGGGTGATCGAAACTGATATCGATTGTAAACACCGTGCATTTTGACCAACAATGCGGTGTTTAATCCTGTGTTCAATGCGCTCTAGTAATATAATTTGGGCGTAAGGGGCGCTGTTCAAATGATCTATGCGTTGAGGAGGTTCAAACCCATTTTCTTACGATTGCATATTTGTTGTTGCCTTGGTTTCAGTGATTGTTTTAATATCTCATTCAAAAAGAAATGACTTTTTCTAGCGTGAGAATATTTTCCCTCTTACATTCAGTGTTTTTTTTTATTTCACGTTCTCGTGTTCAGCATATAGACTTTTCGATTAGGGTGACATTCTTCAATGCCGTTTGATGCAATAACGATATTTGCTATTTGGCTAACATGAAATGAAGTCATCTTGGCAATAAGTAATTAAAGTCCTATTTTCTCTCACTTGTAAACTGTGTTCTCATAGAATACGATGTTTAAAACATAGCAACTATAAATAATATGAAATGATAATCAAATAGACAACAAAATAATCGTCCAGTCACAATAAATTTAATAAAATCGTCCCAAAACACATACATATAGTACAGTTAAAAAAATCAAAACAAAACAATAAATCATTGTTGGTTGGGTAACGATGACACAGTGAGAAAAGTTTGTCTTCAGAAAAAATAATAATGCATGTTCTCTCGGTAGAAGATACCAAGACTTGAGATCAACTGTTAAAAAAATATAGAAAATGCAATATTAACCAGATACACTGTATCAACACACTGTAAAACAAATATACGTAAGCAATTAATTAACATTTTAAAATAATTATGAATGATAATCACAATTTTTTAAATAGACATTTTTAGTTTGTACATGTTAATTGTTTGGACGAGACAATATATTGGGAATGCAACAGTAAGTTGATCGTCGGTTAAACTAATCAATCTGCGTATTTTAACATGCACACAAAGATATATTCAAAATTGTTCCTAAACATTGTTACAAATCCAGTACTACAATATACTTGTATATAAATAATGGTTCTCTTCACGTGCACATTATATTTACCTTACCTAATACGTCATCATGTATTTGCCACTCTCTCTTTTTATTTACTTCCGGATTGACAATAGTCCGGTATACGGTTTTCACCGTTTGCAGGTTTAAAAGTAGATAACGTCGTCTCTGTGAAAATATATACATATTTATATCAACTTGAAATCTTTCACTCTAAAATAGGTCGTTCCTATTGAGATTTAGGCCCCCTGTAGTTGAGATCAGTTACTTTATTTCTGTTCTATTTTTGACTCTGCTACGAGAAAGGTATTACGAAAATCATGGTCACAGATGTATTCAAGTGAAGTCCATTGACAATTGTTAGATGTATAATGAAACATCAAATTAGTAGTATGACTTTTTGATTATTTTGACACTTTTGGTTGAACATCCACTATGTGCTTTTTAATATTGATCTATGCCACTGTGTGCAAACAATTGTTGTTGCATTTTCCTGGGTTTGAATATGCGATTTGATTTCTGTTACTGTTACTGTATGGTCAAAATGGCTCCACGTCGTGCCCTATGAGATGTACAATAACAACAGTGTTTCGGAGTTAAAATAAATAATTAATTTTAGAAATGATTTTTGGCAACTTTGTCTATTAAAGTGCACCACTGAGATAAGGTCACTGACCGAAGGTTAATTAGAATGTCCTGGATTGTATTCACAATTCATGTATTCATGGACTGCATTGATCAACATTTTTCTTGTATATATATAATTAATTTAAATGAACTGGGGATTTCAAAGTATGAATTTTAAACATACGATATATAAAATAACACCAGCTTACCTGTATACGCATCATCATTCACGTTTCCATGGTTTACAATTCCAGTCGTTCCAGGACTATGTAGGTCTTCAATTAGGTGCCTGAAAACAATATCACAAACATATATATTGTCCTATTTTGCATGACATCAACAAAAACGCGAATTAGGTTTCCGTTAATTTGGGTTGGAAATCTGGCAAAACGACGGTGGTTACGGAAGAAAGGGTTGTAAAGTTTTTTTTTTGTTTTTTTAATATAAAACCACATTTAATATGACACTGGTAATTACGTATATTTGTTTTTTTTTTAGTCAAACTGTAAACAATGCTGATATTTTACCAAATTTTTTGCACTTTATGAATCCATCACCCACTCCAAACCCTAATACACAAATGTACTAATTTCCTGCACAGAACGTTATAAATGATTGAACACGTGACTATTACGTATTTTTACGTATCAATGTCACAGAATGTCATTTCATAGATACACGCAACAGTTAAAAACATGCGTTAGTAATATTCGTTGAATGCCAGAATGAATTCAAGAAAATGTTCAAATGTTAACATAAAGGGTGGTGGTCGTCGTGCCGCGTCCTGTTTGATATGGGACTCATAGCGACGTACACAACGAAGGATAACGCGTGTAAAATACATCGTTTGTTTACACCGCCCTTTAAAGCGGGAGAGTCGTCACCTGCGCAGGCGTCAGATGGCCATTGCATGTCATTGTTTACAAACAAAGTCTACCCATGAGCCTTTGCGCTTTGTGACGTTTTGCGCAGGTGACGACTATTACGTGTTTACTTGTTATCCAGAATACTCACCCGTCTTCGTGAGGTTCTAAAAATAAATAAAAAAAAAGATTATTGATTTTAATCCAATCTACAAAGGCTGTCACGTCAACTGTGTTGAATAATACTACTCTGTCTCGATCGCCAGTGGAATCAAAGCCGTCCAAATCCCAGCCACCCTATTGGATAACTACATGTTGGTTTTGCCAGAGGGTGTCATTCAACCCTTTACATCCGGGATGGTATGTGATGCCGAAGTACTTTGTCCTCGTTGAACTTTGTAAAATGAAGCTTTGTTCAAAATGACAGGGCGCCAAATACATGTACAACAAATTTGTCTTTAAAAAAAAACTTTGTTATTTCAAATAGACTGAGTCGAAACCCATTGATAACAGTCGTAGTGACGTATGCATATTCATAATAATAATTTTAATGATAATTTTAATCATAATATTAATAATTCAACTGACTGACCTTTGGGTGGGACTTTTGGTGGTGATTTTCTTCTTTGAAAAAGACATATTACTAGTATAAGTAAAAGTACAATAAGAAGGACGCCACCACCGATTATACTGGGAAGCGCCCACTTGTTCTCAAAAAACGACGTGCCTATACATAAAACAAATAAGAATCGTGTGTAAACTTTTGAAAGTTTGATGAATGTGATGTATTTTTTGTCTTGTGAATTTATTGTCAATAGAAAAATTTTCAAAGTGAGTGTATTACATTTGAACATTACACTCAAAGGCATAGTTGGTAGAACATTACACTCAAAGGCATAGTTGGTAGAACGAGCTCCAATATGGGGGAATTAACTACACTGCAGTTTCCGATAGATTCTAACTTAGATCGCGGAATCTACAGAAATTAGGTTACCATATTACCTCTATTATTAACGCAAGTGGTTACGATAACCACTATATGCTCTTTTATTGCAAACTGAATATGTGTTGTATGACACTGATATTTAACATAGTTTGTTTCACTGTGTTACGTCATAAAACTTCTACTTTTCGTACCTGTGCCGATTATTGAAAGTTCTATCGTGTGTCTTGTAGTTCCTATCGCATTTGTTGCTTCGCATGTATACGTCCCTGTTTTCTTTTCCGTGACTTTTGTAAGATGGAGTGAGCTTGTTACTGTAGATCCATCGTAGTCATTTTTAATGTCAATATCTGTTATTTCCACACCAAAATTATTCTTCCATTTGATATATCTAATTGAAGGTATGGCATCAATTTTACATATCAGGTTTGCGTCTTTTTCTTCCAATGCCTGCACGTTGTCACCAGTGATGATCGGAGAAACTGTTGAAAAAAACAGAACTTTAGTCATAACATTAACTTTCATTTGGGCACGTACACCGTCAACAACATTGTTGTGTCCGATTTCGTGAACAACTGAACAACAAATATTTGACATGTAATCACATGTAATTTGAGCAATTTGTTTTTGTCAAATACGTATTTCAAACTGTTGTATTTTTAATATAGTTTGGGAGTGAAATTTTAAACATAATTGGAAAATCACTTACAACCTATACTTCGTTCCTATAAAACGCCCGCTATCGACGAAACGCCTTTGTGACGTAGACGGGTGCAAGGGTTACCGTTCATGGCATCGGAACTATTTTAACCCATCAATAACAAATACTGATTTTTTATTTCAAATTGACGAACACCTACACAGTTGCTTATTTGAACGAGTTTACTCACATCTATCTACGCCATTTGTTACGTCACAGAAGATTCTCGACACTAGAGGGCGGGACTTATTAGAATAGTTTGTACCACAATGCAGAAAAACAAAATGTGAATGTATTATGTAAAACTTAAGTGATGATAAATATTGTATGCTTACAATGAACTGTGACGGATATCGTATCACTTCTAACATCTGCTGTTGACGAATCAAAATACTGCACGTACGATACACAATAGTAAGATCCTGCAAGAGAACGTATCGTTTTTACCAGGTACCCAAGGACAGTAAAAGGCGATTCGTCTACCATCACTGTGGTCCCGTCATCACCAGAGTAGTACAGTGCTAGCAAATATGGAGCAGGATATCCACCAACCGCAATACATGTTATATTTAAAGTTTCCCCAAGCAACAAAGGTTTTTCCGGTCCAGAAATGTTAACAATAGGTGGGTCTGAAATGAACAATTGTGTAACTGTATTAAATTAATTTTACTCGACTGCAAACGCATTTTGTGTGTTTCAAAGCACAAATCTGTGATCTTGATAACCGATGTATTCGAAAAAATGAACGCAGTGACAGAAAAGAGTGGAATAATATTTGGTGGCAAACGTCAGTCACGTAATTCTCTAAATCTCCACGAGATCTCAGCGGCCATTTATGTCTCGTTTTATTTTCAGTATCTCATGTAACTTTCGAGTACTGTAGAATACATTATTTCTGCTGGAATTAATTTTTGCTAAAAAGGCTTTTTGGGCGTTTTGTATGGAATTTTCTTTTCACTGATTTTTGATGAGTTTAATGTGAAATATAGGAAAAAAGTATATTCGCTGGATTTTATTTTTATGGAATAATCCTTTCAGCGAAAATAAATTCCAAGCGAAAATAAAGTATTCTACAGTACTTTATTTTTTGTATAGTTTACAACAAATATCAGATTACACTGTCAAAGCTTGTTGTTTGTCGTTTTTGTCTTCTGTGTCGAACTCCGAAACGTTGAAAAGTAGCAAACATTTGTATTCGAAATACAGTGAATTAAAAAAATACGAATCGTAAAATAATCCTGAACATACTAAAAAAATTGAATCCGGTGCTAGCATTAAAGGGCGGCAGTCGTCGCGCTGCGCATGTGCGATATTTGTGATGATAAGCATTGATTTTCCCACAATCCAATGCGTTCTTCTAGTGTAAATCATAAGTAAATTAGTATGAGTTTTGACCTGGGCCGCGACTTGGACTAATTACCGCCGGTGGCTCCTTCGATACCTTCCAATCACCTAAAAATACACAATTTAAAGCTTGACAACATCCCAGTTTGTACTCGTTGATCTGCGCAACAGTCAAAGTCGCTATCTTTGTTTATATGAGACCCATATATCTCGTGCATGCATGGCGCGACGGCTACCGCCCTTTAAATGTGTTACTGGTACTTACATTCAACAATCAACTCCATGGTTGCTTGGTCAGTGGCTATAGTGTTATCGTGGAGCTCATTCACCGCTACGCAAGTATAATTCCCAGTATGAGTTCTGCTTACTGACCGTATCATAAATATAGTGTCGTTAGAGATAAACATAGCTTCCTTCTTCCACTTTACGTAATGTGGTCTGGGGTTGGCGACTATAGTGCAGATGAGCATAGTGTCGCGTCCTTCGACAATTCGGGTATGATCTTTAACTCTTACTACTGGTGGGTCTGCATATTATAGAATAGTGAATGAATACCAACAGTTCGAATAACGGAATACCAACTAATAATTGCGTCCTCTATGCCCTCTAGCGGCGACACACTTCTGTGACGTCAACATGAAGCAGAGGGCTACAATCAATATCGACCAAGTAGCCAACTCTGCTTGATTGTGTAATTGCTGGTCATTTACTAACACAGAAAATTATCGAAAAACAGTATTATTCGACGGATAATCACAGATCAATGCAATATCGACGCTATGAACGGTTTTACTTACACTATTACGTCACAGAAGCTGTGTGAGGGCGCGACGTCCAAGGACGGTGTATTGGTTGTAAAATTATCATATACGGGGATTAGTTCGAGCAATTCAAAGAGATACGTAAATAATAGCCTTACACATAGCCCGACTGTTATTTCAGACAACGCGTTTGGATGTTCATATTACAAATAATACTTAATCGACGAATATACACGGCATTCACACGCATGACAGAAACACTCCGTCAACCGTATTATCGGACTCATATGAGTGTAGGCCACATGAGCAAGTCGCCTAACGGAACAGTGGGAATTGCGTAAAGATTAGGCTGGGAATATTCCACTTATACGACTTAAAACGCGCTTTGACGAACGTCCGAATCTTCAAACATGTATTCAAAAATAATATACATATTAATAAAACTTGGGTCTTTGATGAATGTCAGCCGATGCCGTCTTATCCTAAAATTGCGTGCAAGGACCTAAGTAACTGCACACAAAGAGAAAGCGGTTTATCACGCGGGTTTTGTATTATACATACGATAATTTGATACTTACATTGTACGTCAACTATGGCTGTCCTTGAACTAATTCCCTGTGTTCCATCGAAGTAGGTATTATTAGCGCGACAGATATACTCCCCGGAATCACGTCTAGTTACGTTGAACAATGTGTGGTCGCTTGAGTTGTCTAATTGTACGCCATTATGTAGCCACTCAACACTGGCGTATTCAGGATTGGAGGCTGTTATTTCACATATCAGCGAGACATCGTCGCCTTCCTTGCAGAATATCTGTGACAAGATGCTTATAACAGGGGGAACTGTGAAATAATGGTTAACGAATGACATCAGAATTCAATAAATGGGTCATTTTAAATGAGATCGTCACTACCCAATATTGTAATCTGACGTCATGGTTTTTCGGAACCTATCGGTCTGCATGTTTGGTCGCTGGGTCATCTTAAAAAAAATAATAAGTTAATAAATACAATCGCAATGATGATCGCTAAACATGTCCAGGTTACTAGATCACATATCTACATGAATAACACAAATGGCGATCATGTCTGACAGGTTGAAAGGTCATAGCGATGTGTTCTTGGTAAATGCATTAAATCGATTAATGTATTCACCGCAAGGAAATATACTCATCTGCAATGGAAAACATTAGGACACCACTTATTAGCTGTATGCACCTTGGGGTTCATACTAGTATATCTTTCATTCATTATATTGTTTTGTAATGTATAATTGTGAGTTACTTGTTAGATGTTTTGTTTTCCCCCTGTGGCCTTTCATTTGTATTTTCCGAAATTGAATTGAAATAACATCACGAACTACATTAAGACAAGTTTATGAACGTGATATAACAGACGGCACAACCAAACACATATACAGTACATCACTAAACATTGTCAAATCAATGGCAGATAGGGAAATAGTCTCCGATGTATACAAGCAAAGGACAATGTCATATGTTTCGAAATAAGTCAATAGGTCGTGCCCCACATGCTCCACCCGCAATATATCCTTCTGTGTCATATGGTTTTCTGCTAGAAACCAGGTGATATTGATGTCCACAGCGAATGCCAAATTCACCTGACAATTCAGGGACTAATGTTTGGGGTCAGCGTGATTTCCATTGCATTTTCATGTTAAATACTATAATCAGTTACTCAATTAGGAATATTGTACCTGGTTCAGTCATCTCCGAAAGAAAACAAATGCTGACACGTTAAGAAGGAAAGCGTGAGTTTGTTTTAGATAGGAAACATGTTGTTTATATTATATATATCAGAACACGTTGCGTAGTGCCCGTCAATTCATATAGATCTACTGGACTCGTTACTTACACTGAATATCTAGGTATATAAATGCATTGGCAAGTCCCTTTGTTCCGTCGTAAAAATTGTTCTCAGCATGACATCTGTATGTACCAATCTGGTCTCTGCTAACAGCATCGATCACAAGTTCCGATGTTGTTGATACAATGGATCCATTCTGTGATTGCCATATTACGTTTGCTGTGGGGTTTGCATTTGATATGCACAGGACACTGTAATGTCCCCCCTCGATGACTTCACCATTTTGATTATCGACTATTTGCAGATCCGGTTTGTCTGTAAATAAAAGCCATACACGTATTGACAAGTAAACTTGTAAACTTATCAGTAAAACCGCGACCCAAGAACTATTGTTAACCATCATCGGATTAGTATTTACCAGTCTTAGAGTCTTAGAGTAATATGCGACTCGTGTGTTTCTGTCAAAATGTACAAACAACATTTGAAATTTTAATGCTGTTATAAGTATGAAGGGGAAATGCTGGCCTTCTTGTTCGACGTTTTTTGATTATTTTTCTCCAAACTGTGTACGGTGATTCGTTATTTTTATTCAATTGTCTTCATACTTATAACAGTATTTTTGTTCTTTTCAGTTTTCATAGTAGACTATTTCAATACGTACACTGTATGTAAAGAGTTGTTACGTTGCTACCAGTTCCCATGCTGCCATCGTAAAAAATATTGGTTGCAGTGCAATTGTATTCTCCAACAAGATCCCGCGTGATGTCCGCCATTTCGTAGATACCGGATCCATGTATAGCCATGCCGTCTTTATACCACATGATGGCGCTGTTATCTGGATTTGCATCGGCGACAGAGCATTCCAGCTGTACGGTATCGCCCTCCTTTCGTGTCTGTGGAGAGGTTAAATTCACAACGGGGGGATCTAAAAGGGTATAAACAACATATACATTTGTATCATATAAATAGGCATTTCCTGTCAGTCATGACCTCAAACGACAAAATGCTTATCTGACGTAATTGGGTGAAATAAAAGCCGTACACGACAGCCGAGTCATAGAGGGCGCTACACGTGAATCTGAAGCGGTTCGACGACTGTGACGCTCAATAACTATTTCAATAACTGAAAATCAAACAATTTTATAAAAACATGGGGTTTGTTTTATATTTCTTTATGCAATTTACAAACTTAATGCAAAGAAGTATATAATCTAATATTACATTGTTATTATAATTACAATAATTATTTTATTGTAATTATTGTAGTAATAGTATACAGAAACCCAGTGTTCAAACTGAAATATAGACTAAAATTAAAACAGCATCACGATTTGTGTTCTCATTTGAAAAAAAACACACAATATGTTACTTGCACGTAAACCATTATTGTATATTGAACTCCTTTACAAATGGCAGAATTAAAACCTGCTTTCTCCCAAAATGAGGCTGATGTGTTGTCGCGTGTTGGACAACATACACTGTGTTTTAGTTTGCAGTGTGAAACTGTATAGATCAATATCAATGGTGATAGAAACTTACATTGTACGTCAAAGAAAATCCAATCAGTATGACTACCAATTGAGTTGTCCCAAAACACGTTCCTAGCTTTGCAGGTGTATATTCCCGTATGTTCACGGCGAACACTGTCTATGGCTAATGTTTCACTTCTGGACACGATGTTACCTGCATATTCCCAGTGCACCACGGGTCCAGGGTTGGCGGTGACGTTACATCGCGTGATGTATGGCCGACCTTCGACGGCATACCAGTCTGACCTGTCACTGACGGTTACCGTAGGATCATCTGCGAAGAAGAAACACATGTTAGTCTATATTGTTGGCCTGGTAGAATAATTATTTTTTTTTGTATCACGCCACATTGGCGATGCAACAAGTGTTATTTATTTTCTTTTACGTTGCTACTGCGAGATCTCGCATTTTGCGTGAAAACGAACTGAATTTCGATATTTAACTAATGAATTTCAAAATCAAATCATTTGATTGTTGTAGTAGACGTTAGACCCGTGTTCCTCACGTATTACGCGAGAACTCGCAGTGATCAGTAAATCACCTACGAATATACTTGTGTCAATGATCAAGGTGTATTCAATCATTACAGTATTGTCGTTTCGTTTCAAAGAGGATGCATTATACTGTAAAAAGGTTAATTATTCACTGGGTTTTAATTTTGCTTATTTCGCTGACTGGAAAATGCGCTAAATTAAAACCCAGTGAATATGTAAAATTGAGCATGGAACACATTATCTAAATAATAAACAGTGAATTTAAAACCCACTGAATATGTCTGAAATGTCAAATCAGAAATTTAAACCCAATGAAAATTAGTCATTTTACAGTAATCTCTTATGAGGGCAGTGTGTCACGAACGAATACGTGAGAGCTTGCCATGTATACACGTGACTCACTTGGATTGTAGTAGAGATATCTTGTAGATGTTGGAGTATCCAGGCGAGATATCGGTTGAGCAGGGTGTTATATGTTTTAGTACATCACGGAAAATAACAATCTCAACAGAATGGCCACCACTGCTGGTATTTTCAAATGGTGGACCTGTTGCGTCAGACGCGCATTGAAAAATGGGCGAAAGACCATATAAGTGACCATGAAAAGGAGATCACGTTTCATAAATCTTGTGCAGTTACAAGGGGTGATGTAGCGGACAATATGTCACACCATTGAACACAGTGTAATACGCTCTACCAGTAGAATACTAGTATATATATTTACTCACATTGCACATCGATAAAAATACTGGCTTCTCCTTTTCCCCTCTCGTTATTCCAGAAAGTATTCACGACCTCACAGGTGTACAAGGCAGTTTTCTGGCGATCGATTTGTGTAAAATTCAGCCATTCATTCCATGCACCCATATTCAACCATGACAACCCGTCAACAGCAGGTTCTGCTTCTAATACGATACATTGTATGGAAATAGATGCACCTTCTTTGACTTTTCCTCTGCCATCTGTATAACCCACGATATCCAGTACTACATCTGGTTCATCTAGAAATGTTTACATAATCGGTGTTAAACTGTTTTCAATTCCTTTCCTCTACACTACTACATTACCAGACACGTCTTCTTAAAGCCTCAGTCACGGTCAATGAACAGTTCGTTAAAAAGAGGAGTCGTCACATGCGCATGTGTCAGATGGCCATAGCGTTTAATTGTTTACAAACATGCATCTACCCATGAGCCTTTGCGTTTTTTAGCGTGAAAAATACATTATTATAATAATTTGTATATGCAGTCTAAAAAGTTGTATGGTCGCCAAAATTAGGGTTGAATACGATATCTGTCTGGAATGACCACTGGAGTCTCGATTTTGCTTCCTACGTCTCTCCCTCTTGAATTCATAGGTCGACTTTTTTACTCATGTTACGACTGCGTCTGAGGAATCATCGAACTTTCTAGGTTAGTTTTGTTTAGCGCGCTCTTGAAGCAGAATTCGAATGGCAATGCATAATGGGATTTATCATAGTAAAGATGCATCATGTTTCGATAAATATAACTCGCGAACGCTGTGATACTATAATAATAATAATAACTTTATTGCCTCCGTGTAAAATTTTTTACATAGGATAAGTACAGCAAAAAAGAGTTTTAAAATAATAACAAGATATATGTAAGAATTTTACAAAAAAACAAAACAAAAGAACTTAACTAGTATTTAAATGTTAAATAAATCTTTTTGTTATGTAAATATAATTGGCAAGTTCTATAATTATGTCAGGATCTTTGCTTGAGAGTATATATGTGAACTGTATATTTTTATTGTTGGATGAAAGTAGTGTCATAATTTTTTGGATGAAATTTTCCCTGTGTGTGTTATATTTTGG